CATACGTGCAAAGTTTGGTGCAAAAGTAAAATCTAAATTAAATTATATAATTTACATTTGCCATTTCCAACAGTAGTCTTAATATGTAAATTGCATGCAAATTTGAACGCTTTATAAGTTGCGAAATGAAAATGAAAATGTATAACACAAATTGATTTGATATGTGTAACCAAGCAGAAATGGTAGCATAATGATCATTTAAATGATATTTGTCCTAAATGCATTTAGACTAACAGTTAGAACACTTAGGATTGCATTTTCTTCATGACGCCGTGGGATATTTGTAGCAAAATTCAATTTGAAAATGCATTCCGAGCTGACCACGCCCACCCTCCGTCAATCATTGCTTCAAGGCAGGGATTGGTGGAAGCGTGTTACGTTTGGATCGTTTGAAACATGGCGGCTGGAGATCTGATAAGATCGTTGAATTCACTGGCAGATGAAGCGGAGCGTGAACAGAGGAATATATGAAGCGTATTCCATGCTGAAATCAAACGTTCGAACGACAGACCGATCGAACGTCTAACCGTCGACCGATCGTCTATCCGAACGTCTTGAGCGTTGAGCGTCTTACACTGCGGGTGACCCACGTGACACCAGCGTCTTGAAATTAGCGGGTGTTTAAACATTTAAGGAGCCAAGCTGCTGTGTAAAGACTATAAATGGTCATTACAAGCATTACAATAATGATATTTTATACCTAAAATAGTACTCAACCATTTCCTGCATCCTGCTGTACTTCCCTGAATAAGTCTTTAAAGGTGTTGTAGGCTAATAAGTCGTTCTGAGTAATAAGTTTAAAAAGCTCCCACCTGTATATGACTAAACAAAATAACATGTAGTTTACTTGAGGTTCTGTTATAAATGTGTCTATTAGATACATTAATTTAAATTAATCAATTATACAAAAAATTGTTTGAAATTAATTAAGATTTCCCAAGTTTTTGAACGAAAGTCCTGAATGACTGTTATTAAAGGTCATTTAATGAATTTGAATGATTTTCAATGCCCCGCAGAAATATCAGTCTGGCGAGTAAACAAAAAAATTTACTAGCCAATGGCGATTATATTGCCAAGGTGTGCGTAGAGGGTTGTGCCTGAGCAGTTTGTGAGCGCAGCGCTTATTTGATTACAGCCGTTACTGGGGAAACCTCTATCTCTCCCGCTTTACAAGCGCCTCCTGCTGGCAGAGAATGAATTTGCAAACAGAGTCTATGTCTGTCAAAAGTCTATGGGAAACACCGCTTCTGTTATGAATATTATTCAATATTTTAATTTGAATGTCGGATTGAAATGAACGCTGTTATTAGAGTAGTTAATCGTTAGCATAAGCGCGGCTAACACTAATATAATGAGCATTAGAATTAAGTTTCTTTATTAACTATTTAATGCTCCTATAACTTTTATTAGGGTAAAAAAAAAAAAGGAGGACATGATGATATTTACTATTTTTACACACCAGAGGCTTTTAAATGAATTGTGAATCTAAAATATGCATGTTAGAGAATGTACAAATGGTTAACACTGTTTGTTTCATATAAGTCAGAAAAGCAGTTCTGGGCTGCTGCTTTTTTTTTTTTAGCTAACTTAGTTGTTACTCTTGGCTGAATAACTCTAGAAGGTTTTCAAAAGCCCTTTAAAATTAAAAATTTACACAGTTTGGATTAAATGAAAGTATAGTCAAATTTTTTAATTAGCATGTTTTTGTGTTTTGCTTTGGTACCGAGAACCGTGTATTTTCACTGGTATTGGTACCGAATACTGAAAGTTTGGTACCGTGACAACACTACAATGGACTATAGAACTCATAGTTTGATGCAGGTGTTATGTGATTAGCTAAAGAATACTTAAATCTATAGTGTCTAATTATTTTTACATAGAGTTGTCAAAGTTAACACTTGCAATTAATTAAATGTGTTTAACACTGTTTTACTTGGTACTTGGCGATTTCATTATTTATGTAAAAACAGAATTAAAGGGATGTTTAGAAGCTTTAAACTTAGATAAGTCCTAAATTTATTTTTACCTAAATTGTCTATAAATGTAATTTCATTGACATTTAAAACAGTCAACATAACTACCAATCAAAAGTTTGGGGTCAGTAAGATTTTTAATGTTTTTAAAAGAAATTTCTTTTGCTCACCAAGGCTGCATTTATTGTATCAAAAATACAGTAAAAAAAACAGTCGAGTCTTCAATGTCAAATGATCCTTCAGAAATCATTCTAATATGTTGATTTGGTGCTCATTCAACATTTCTTATTATTATGTTGAAAACAGGAACTGTGATACTTTTTTCAAGATTGATGAATTGCATTTATTAGCATTCTTTTTAAGATTTTTTGTGACAATTTAAGAGTCTTACTGACTCTATACATTTCAACAGCAGTGTTCATTAGCAATACACTAAGAATTTGCATTAGTATTTCTGTAAATTGGTGACTGGTGTAAATTCGGTACCAAGGCATTGAGACTCACCTCCTTTCCATTCTTTGTGAAAAACACAGTGACAAGTCCGGCATCGAAAGTGTCTGCATAGATACCGCAACCAATCCGGTCACCACGGTTACATTTAGGACCAAACTGCTGACCAACAGGGTTGCCGTTGTACATTCTGTGAAGAGGAGAGATAGAGCCATCAATGACTTGTAACTGGAAAGGATCATGGAAAGAAGAAGTGACCCCAAATCAAAAAATTCCGCCAGGCAACCAACAAAGCAAAGTTGACAAAAACACATTTTGAAACGCAGCCTAATTTTCATTTTTGACTGAACTAACCCTTTAACTCTGTGCCCTCAGCCAAAACCACACATGAGTGTAAAAAGTCCAAGTTTCTTCATCTTCCTTGTCATCTCTTTCGAGGATTTGCTTTCCAAGCTTTGAGAAGTGACTGTAAATCCTGAAAACCTACATACAAACTCTTGCTGCTGGTTTAAAGCCTTTCCTGCTGCAAATTCAGTGCACAATGATTAATTTAAGAGCACTCATTTATTTTACCACAGCTTCGACAAAAAACCATGCCATGAACCTTGTGGCTACAAAATTCCATGCCGGAGCTCCAGGGAAAATAATCAATTACACTAATAGAGATATTTCCACTTGACTAAGGACAACATTGATTTGCACATGCACACGTGAGCACCCTGAGAAAACAGAGCAGAGGTTAATCACTGAATGGCACTTCAATGTTGAAACAGGCGGTGAAGCGATAGAGCGTTGACTTCCTTGCCCACAGGGGCTGAAATGAAACCCCTGTGAAAATGTAATGAGGAAATATGAGGACGACATTGACGCATATCCCGACTGGCAGATGACCTTTATGGAGAAGGAGGAAAAAAAGTTCCCAGACTTCGCCAATCTGAAGGATTCTGCGTCACAATCAGGTGATGTAGAGCGTATAAAGTAAGAGCGAGTTCTTTATTGATTACTCATAGCTCACTGCTGAAGATGTCACATTCATTCCCACTGGCTGCAGATATTCCCAGGGTGCACAATCACGCACTGAGTGACGTTATTGGTCAATAAGATTGCGATACAGTCTGGTCTGAGACATCTGCTTTGAGCATTTTTTATAAAAGCCACAGATGATTATTAAATTAGAATAAATGTTACATCTCAGTAATTCCTTCAAAAATGGGCAGTACCAAAACATTGACTCAGATTTTACAAAAAACTCCTCGATTTAAGATACAACAAGGATTGGTATGCAAAAAAAAATAATAAAATATATATATATATATATTTTTTTTTTCTTCCCAAAATCAGCTAGGCGTGGATTGCCTATAATTACTGACGATAATTAGGCTTTAGAATGTCTATGATAATGAAGATTAGGTGAAAAAAAAAAAGATTGGGTATTGAGGCAAGAACCACGGACATGGATTAGGCCATGATCCTGGGTTCTTGCTGAACCAAAATCAGAGCGTAACAATTGCTGCGTCTCGCTGTGTTCTGCTCACAGCGAAGGAGAAAATGTTCTATGGTGCGGCTAAATGGTGCTGAATATTGGGATCATAACACCTAGTCCTATCATGCAAACTAAAACTGTTCTTTTGAACTTTATATTCATCGAAGGAAATGAGAAAATGTTTAACAGCTTCCACAAAAATATTAAGCAGGAAAGCTGTTTATAAACATTAATAATAAGAAGAAGAAAAAAAAGTTTCTGGAGCACCAAATCAGTATATTAGAATGATTTCTGAAGAATCATGTGACAGGGAGGACTGGAGTAATGATGCTGAAAATCCATCTTGGCCATCACAGGAATAAATTACATTTTAAAATATTCTCAAATAGTTATTTCCAAATTGAATAATATTTCACTATATTTCTGTTTTTACTGTATTTTTATCAAATAAATGCAGACTTGGTGAGCATAAACAGACTTCTTTCAAAAAAAACATAAAAACTCTTACCAACCTCCAAATTTTCAACAGTATGTACAGTTTATGAAAATTTGACAAGAAAAATATAATATAACAAAACATTAATAATAAAGATGCATGAATATGTATTATCACAACCTACATCTGCACACAAAGTAGGGCTGCACAATTAATCGAATTTCTAATCGTGATTACAATTACAGATGCCACAATTACGTAATCATTCAAAGTGGCAATTAATAGTTCAAAGTCCACTTATGTTATGTGCTTAAGATGTGTTGTTTTCTTTCTATGGGTTATCTTAAGGGTTTTTCCATTGTTTTAATTTTAGTTTTAGTATAACATAATACCATGCATATTTTAGCATTTTTTTAGTTAAAGAAGAAACCAATCAAATGAAGTTGACATTTGAGGCTTAATACTATAGAAAAGCAAAACGTTTTTTTCAGTTTGAGTGTTTTGTTTATTTTCATCTAAAAATATGGCATGCAGCTGCTTCAGTGTAAATAATGATAATCGTAATAATCGCAATTACAATTTCAAGGGAATAATCGACAATTATGATTTTTGGCATAATCATGCAGCCCTAACACACAGTAAGTAAAACATGCAGCTCTCGTTATGAATGTGCCACTGTCACAACACTTCACACTAAATATAATGCAATATCCTAAATGGTCTCTAAAACACAGAAACTTAATAACCATCTCTGTGGAAGAATGCACAACACAGTAACTTCTATAAAGTAGATTATACTTTATGTTGATTAAAATATATTTGGTAGAAGTTTAAATTAATATATTATTAAATTTGTTTTTATCTATAAGAATTATATGTATTTTAAATTGACTACAAATAACAAAATATTTACTAAATTTAAAGGACTTATTCATCAAAAGACAAACTAAGACAAAACCTGTTTAAAAAAAAAATAATTTGAGTAACAAACAGGGTGTTACTTTCCCGCTTCAATCCTCCAGAGAGGAAGTTCATCACATCAGCTCAATCTGCCAGCAGCAAAAAACCCATTAGAGCTGTCTCCTGCCTCAGAAACGCATCCAGGCAGCATCTGCTGTGCTCCATAAATTAAAAAACGCTTGCCCTCTCCCAAAGACTAATTTATAGGCCAATCCCTGTGAGTTTTCCTGTACTAAATCACCTGGGAGTTTCTTTCCCAAACTGTATTTTATGGCTAGAGAGGTAACGGTGCTATCTGAGAATATCAACTCAAAGGGCAGTGTCTATTGTGATGTGGACAGACACAGGAATCATTACACATTTTAAAAACAGATTAGTCAGTGAGCTAAGTAACTAGCAGCTCTTGAAACTGGTTGCTGACAACCAGGGATGCAGCGAAATGAAAATTCTGGGCCGAAACGGAAACCAAAAATTCTGGATACACTTGGCCGAAAACCAAAACTGAAAATGCTTTGTAATAAATATTTATTATTTTATTAAGTAATATAAAATAATTTTGTAAGACTTTTTAATTTAACTCAATAACTTTAATGATACTGGAAAAAAAAAAAAAACACATGCCAATAAAATAACAACTCTTATTGAAAGTAACACAAAATTGGACAGAAAACATATTTAATATCAATATATTATTTTTATTCAGTTTTATGCAACAGAATCAGATATAACTAATTATCCAAATAATGCATTGTCCTACAATGCTATTAGGCCTATTATCAGAGCATGTGAGTTAGGGCTGTGCCGATAAGTATCGTGTATCGACAATAGTCAGAGATATCGACGATAGCACGTCTTTGTCGACAGTCAAGACGATATTAGGCTCATTCTCCTATAAATGTATTAAATAATAATAATAATTATTATTATTATTATTAGGCAGCCTATTATAATTCGGCTATTATTATCAAATTGCCCCGACATTTCACTTCAGCACCGCATTTCACAGTCATGCAAATGAGGATTAGAGTCTGTAGCCGGTGAAGGAGTCTCCAACCACAAACACAGACGTACATCGTCTGCTGATATAAGGCATTTCATTGCATTTTAACAAGTAATCTGAACGGCCTATATGTGTGCAATCTTTTAGCCAAGCCCTCGCTAACTGAGTTTAACACCACAGTTATGTTAGAACGCATCTCATCCTTGTTTCTGAGGCGGTGCGTCGGGCTCGCTGTATGACTGATATATCTGTTCAATTTAACTTTACTCCAAATTAGTGGTCGACCGATATTGTTTTTTCGACAGCCGATGCCGATATCTTGGAAAGCAGGGTGGCCGATGGTCGATATAATTGTATTTATTTTAATTACTATTCAAGAAATTTTAAATCATTTGAAAATGGATTTAAAAATACATTTGTAAAATAAGCATACTAATACTTTAGATGACAAAGTATTTTTCACAAATAAATAAATATTTAATAAAAATATAATTAAAAAGGAAGTAAACTGTAACCAACAGAGCACTCAGTATTCTGGGAAGTTTGTGTGCATTGGGAATCATATTTTTTCAAATAAAGCCAAGGTA